AGAGAGAGAGAGAGAGAGAGAGAGAGAGAGAGAGAGAGAGAGAGAGAGAAAGCAAACAAAAAATAATTCGGTATGTCTTTCACATATAGTAAGTGCACCGTATGTAGTAATGCTCGAATTACCTGAATAAAAGAATAAATCAAATGATGAGGTCTGGCCCAAATAATGTGCATGGGAAAACATTTCCCTGACTTATAGTCAGGATTTCAGTTGAGAATTGGATATTCAGTTGAGAATATTGCCAATATTATTATATTTAATATATTATTAAATCATATTGTTATGAAAGCATAGTAAAACAGCACAACAAATTAAATTACTTAAATAGTCTTGACTTACCTAGAGTCTAGATCCACTGTAATTTCTATCAGAGAAGTATCTGAATCATCACAGACTTTTTCCAAGTTTATATGTTTTTCCATTTCTTCCAATTCTTTCAGGCACTGATAATACTAGGGGAAAATGATAAATTCAGTTCATTATAAAATAACTTTATTTTCTAATTAAACTAATTGAATATTTATGAACACCTGAAAAAATAATTATTGAGACATTAAGGACCAAAACCCCCAAACACTGTTAAGGTATTAAAAGAAAAAAACTGCCATAGGCCCATAGGCAGGTTATGTTATCCAATAGGCTGGAGTCCAGTGCCTTAGCAAATGGACTTTGCTTACCTTGGTCCTGTCGGGATCACAATAATCCAAGAGAGAATCACAAAAATGGTATCCCATTGACTCCAAATCTTTTGTGCTGAAATGTGTACCTCGTTTATTACCTAAAACACCAATAAGTTTATCCATCCTTGGGGATGAGCTAATCATTTTTCCTTAGCAGGTGGGCCTACATTGCAAAACAGAGAGTATAAACAAAACATTGATTCCATATCCTGTCCTTTGGATTTTCTTCTCTGGGGCAGGTCATTTAACAGCTTACTGCTTTCCCTTGTTTCTTTTTCACCACCCAGACCAAAGCTGACTTAACACAGATTAGTCTATGATGTAAGGCAGAAAAAAATTCAATAAGAGAATTATGGAATAATTTGTTATCAGTTATAAACAGACCTAATAATCACTTTGAGAAAAATTTGGGTAAAGATTTTGTGAGAAAATTTTTTCAGCATCATGAAAATTTATATCAGTTTCAAGGTGCTTTAAAAACCAGACAGAAATTACATATGTGGATTTCCAGCATTTTCCTATGAGTTGATACATTTTCTGACAATGTGATAATTATCTTAAAATGGAGTATTCTAACTGCATTAGGCTATGCCAGATTTGACTAACAGACTACAGGGGATATTTTTATACTTTCATTTTTTAGTTCAGGGAACCAAGTGCTTTAATTTAAGTATAAATTGACAAAACAAACAAACAAAAACCCCAGTCTATTTTGCCTTGCAAATAGCAAATCCAGTAAAAACAATGTTCTACCATGTTATTTTAAGAATGTGCATTGCTTTTTCTTGAATCATCAGGAACCATCATTCAAAAAAGTCTGTAGAAACACTCTTTAAAAAATCAGAAACAGGCATTTAAAGATTAGTTTATGAAACAGCCAGTTAGAATACAGACAGTCCTCGATTTATGATGGTTCAACTTACTTTTCAACTTTACCATGGTGTGAAATTCTGTAGAATTTCTGAAATACTAGAAATTCTGCATTCTGTAGAAATCTTCCTTCGAATTTTGAATTTTGATCTTTTCCTGGGCTGGTGATATGAGGTATCATACTCTCTTGCAATTCCAGGCAGTGGCAGTGTGCCACAGCTCCCAAGTCAGCCACCAGATCACAAGGTTAAACAACCAACACTCTACAGTATACTGTACCGCCAGACGATTTTTGCCCAGCTGTAGGCTAATTGTAAGTGTTCTGAACATGTTTAAGGTATGCTAGGCTCAGCTCTGACATTTGGTAGGTTAGGTTTGTTAAGCGCATTTTTGACTTAAAATATTTTCAACTTGCGATGAGTGTATTGGGATGTGACCCCACTGTAAGTTGAGGAGCATCTGGATTCTATCTCATGCTAAAACTTGCATTTCTCAACAAAAGGAATGATGAAGACATACCATATAATGGAAGTTATATTCATCCTCTTTACAGAAGTCTATTCATCCTCTTTATAGAATCGATGAAATATCAGTATGCGTTTAACTGAGAAGGTGGTGCTCACTATCCAACATGTCTCTTTGGTTTAAAGCTCCGAGAGCAGTGAATGAGAATACGTGGTCTTACCCAGAGTAGATCCACAGAAGGTGGCCTCCATGGTAAAGCTGTTCCTGATTCCCATTTTCCACATCACCACCCTTCCTGTCCCTTCTTTGCTCTTCTGAATATTAAACTTGCAAGCTGAGAATGAAAACTGAAAGGAAGCAAATAAAAATGAGACCCATTATTTTTCTGGTACCTATGTCTTTCTTAGGAAGTAGGGTTGAAAATGAAAAAGTAGTCGTACAAAATTTGTAATTTTCACTAAAGCTTTAGGAGCTACTTTTTATTTCTTGACCAATGGGAATAACTCATTTAAGGGATGATACATTTACTTTTATGAGAACTATAGATTCAAATATCCACAATAAAATTTACTTTTTATCTTTATATGACATATGTGTTCAAGATAATTGATTAGTTCTTGATACCACTGGGATAAAATTTTATACTTTAAAAGAAGTTTTAGGAAGGGCTTTAAACATGATTAGTGTTGTAGATTTCCAGAAGTAGAATAAAGATCCTTTATTTTCATATGAAAGACCATTTGAAATGTATCCAGAAAGATTGTCTACAGAGAGATCAGTGTCTACTACAAAGAGATTTTTTTTTGGAATTAAAAAAAAATCACCGTACAATAAAATCAACTTTTTGCATTTCATTCTTGAATTTTAACACATATATAAACTCACGTAACCACCACCACAATCAGGATATAGAACAGCTCTATTACCCCTAAAAAATTCCCTTGTGGTATCCCTTTGCAGTCTCTCCCTCCCATCACCTCTCACCCCTGGTAACCATCGATTTGTTCTTCCACTACAGTTTTGTTTTTTCAAGATTGTCTTATAAATGGAATCATACAATACCTTTTGAGACTGGCTTCTCTCAGCATAATACCTTTGAGATTTATCCAAAGTTGTTGCATGTATCAATATTCATTCCTTTTCATTGCTGAATAATGTTCCATTGTGTGGATATACTAAAGTTTGTTTATCCATTCATCAGTTAAAGGACATTTTGGGTTGTTTCCAGCATTTGGCAATTTTAGAGTTGCTATAAACATTTGTGTGTATAGGTTTATATATGAATATAAGTTTTCATTTCTCTATGGTAAATACCTAGGAATGGGATCGCTAAATCATATAAGTACATTTAATTTCATAAGAAACTGCCAAACTGTTTTCCAAAATGCTGTATCATTTTGCATTCCCATCAACAATGTATGAGTTCCAGTCGCTCCAAATTCTTGTTAGCACTCGAGATTGTATTTTTTATTTTGGCCATGTTAACAGGTGTGCAATTATATCTCCTCATGGTTTTACTTGCAGTTTCCTAATGGCTAATGTTGTCAAACATCTTTTCATGTGCTTATTTACTATCATACTTTTTTTTGGTAAAGTGAGTATTCAAGATTATTGCCATTTTTTAATTGGGTTGTTTGTTTTGTTACTACTTAGCTATTCTGGATACAAGTTCTTTGTCAGATATGATTGCAAATATTTTCTCCTGTCTGTAGCTTATCTTTGTAGCCTCTTAACAGAATCTTTCACAGAGCAAAAGGATTAATTTTGATGAAGCCCACCTTATCAATTTATTATGAGTGTGTGGCTGGCCAGTAGGGGGATCCAAACCCTTGATCTTGGCGTTATCAGCACCATGCTCTGAGTGAGCTAACCAGCCAGCCCTATCAATTTATTATGATCCAATGGATCATGTTTTTGGTGTATGTCTAAGAACTTTTTGTGTAACACTATGTTATAAAAATTTTCCCCTAAAATTTTTATAGTTTTACATTTTACATTTAAGGTGTGAAGTTTAGGTGGAGGGTTTTTGTTTTTGTTTTCATATGGATACCCAATTGTTCCAACACCATTTGCTGAAAGGTTTTTTTTTTCCCTCCATTAAATTTCCTGTGCAAAAGAAGAATAAGAAATGCTGGCAAGGATTTGGAGAAAAGGAAATTTTTCTACACTGTTAGTGGGACTATAAATTAGTACAGCCATTATGGAAAACAGGATGGAGCTTTCTCAAACAACTACAGATAGAACTACCATACAGTCCAGCAATCCCACTTCTGGGTATATACCCAAGAGAATGGAAATTATCAGTGTCAAAGGGATACTTGCACTCCCATGTTCATCAAAGCTCTGTTTCCAGTAGCCAAGATATGGAACCAATCTAAATGTCCATTGATGGATGACTGGATAAGGAAAAGGTGATATATATATATATATATATATATATATATATATATA